TTACTAAAAATATTTGGAAACCAGTTTTTAAAACCTCAGGGAAGAATAGTCCAACAGTATTGGCATTTGGCTTTAGATCTTATGTCTTCCCCTTTGAAAGCAAATCATTCTTGGGATTCAAGAGCAAGGGGAATGCAAAATAAAGTATCTTTTAGATCTACTACTGAGAATCAAGCAAAATTTTCCTGATAAAATAGTGAGGAGAGTGTAAGGATTAGGTACCACAGGATGAATGTCCTCCACTATTTGGTTTATTGCCCTTAGATCTTGAAAAAGCAGGTATTCCTGGGTTCTAGGTTTTTGAACTGGCAGAACGGCAGTATTGTAAGGAAAGCGACAAGGTGAAAGTCCATATTCCAAGAAGGCTGAAACTAGGGGTTGAAGGCCCTGCTTAACTTGAAGATTTAATGGGTACTGCTTCAGTTGGGAGGAAGGAGATGAATTCCCAGATTTATCTTGATATGAATGGGGTCTGTGTGTACGCTTCCAGGTTGTCTGGTAGCCCATACCTCAGGGTGGACTTGATGGAGAACTTTGTTGGGCAGCTCTTGAGAGACAGCCAGCCAAGCAAGCAGAGCCACTTGTGAGGCAAGGGCATGTCCTGGAGAAACTGCGACATGCACTTGCTTATTCTGAAAGGTCACCTGAGACTCCAGTTTGGAGAGATCTTGACCCAACAATGGGAGAGAGCACTTAGGCATGTAAAGAAAACCGTGTGTGAGGAAAGAATTTCTGATAGCACAATCCAATGGCTGGAGAAAATATTTTTGAGAGGGTTCCCTGGATATTCCAGTCACCAATATTGAGTCTTTAGTTAGCTTGGCCAATTTAAGATTTAATACTGAGTAAGTCACACCAATATCAATTGGGAAATCAATTAATTTTTTTCCCACCTTCATTGTTACCCTGGCTCCTGGTGGGGGATGTTAATCACAAGCTGTAATTCCTGCAGATCTTGGGGGTCCTTAGGGTCCTGTCATTCCATACCCTTTTCATCTAGTTCTCTCAGCTGCAGAGAGGGTCCTTATGGTCCTTCTGCTTTAATTTAGGGCAATCCTTCTTCCAATGACCCTCCTTGCAATAGGCACATTGATTTTTCCCTAAGGCAATCCTTTCATTATTTTTCCTTCCTCCCTGGGCTGTAGTCCCCTTCAGTGAACACCTTAGAGTTTTTCATCAAAGCTGCTGCCAAAAATTTTGCCTGTTGCTTCATTTCATGTAATTTTCTCTTTTCCTTCTGCTGTTCTTTAGTTTGTTCACAGTTTATAAAAACCTCGTAAGCCACTTCAACCACATGGGATATGGGAGGGGATAGAGTACCCTCTAGCTTCTGTAACTTTTGTTGGATATCATGCATGCTCTGACTAATGAAGGTCATACTGATCAACCTTGAATTTTCAGGGTTCTCTGGATCTATACTGGTATACTTCTGGTATGCTTCCAGAATTCGTTCTAAGAAGGCTCATAGATTTTCATCTGTCTCCTGTTTTATTTCCTGAAACTTGGCTTTTAGTTTTGGGAACCCTTTTCTAAGCCCACCCAGGATACAATCTTGGAAGTGTTGAATCTTATCTTCATCCCCGTTGTTTGGAGTCTGGCTGAATCATGAACTGGGACAGCTAAATTAGCTGCAGTCCTCATCTGGTTATTTGGGCCTTCTTCATGCAACAGTCAGCCTCCTCTTGAGCCGTTTCCAAGACAATGTGATGTTCTTCAGAGGTTAAGAGAATGTTAAGCACTGGACATCCACCCAGGTGGGATGATGCATACTAAATTCAAACAGGTTACTTATACACTTTGGGTTGTCCCTAGAGGCAGGAATATTCTGTTCTCAATTATATAAATCAGAAGTGGTGAAAGGGCTATACAGCCACATTAATCCATCCAGTTGTCCATTTTCATCCATCCCTCAAAGGAAATTGCCAGGCTGGGAAGAAAGGAGGACCCTGACTGAATTGTGTACCCTGACAGGTGTGTGAGGGAAAGACCATATCACAACGCTTCCCAGGACTGTCCTCAGAAAAGGAAGAAAGTGAAGGATAGATGACTGGAGGAGCCAATGGGGAAGAAATAAAGGTTCCAGGATTATAGGAGGAGCAGAAGGGCTAAGAAGGGGATTTCCAGAAGGAGTTAAAGTGCTCAGGACCATGGCTGGGGCGGCAGCCAGAGCTGCAGCGTGGGAGTTGCCCAAAGGTGCTCTTCAGAATAAGAATCTCCTCTGATGGCAGAATGAGGTTCTTGGGCTTGAGCTCTCACTCCCTGATCTTTTAAAATGCTTCTGTCCTCTGTTTAGAATCTTTTTTTTTTTTTAGAGAGAGATTTCCCACCTTGCGTGGGAGTGGGCTGCGAGAAGCCCGAAGTCTAGGCTGAGGTGTTCTCCAGGAAGCAGATCTGAATCTGCTCAACCTCTGCGTCCTGGGAAAAGATGGCTTCATAAGGATGTACTCACAAACCAGAAAAGAAGTTTTTAAGGAAGATGCTGGCAGGCTGATATCCTTTGATCTTGGAAGGAAGAAAGATGCCTGTAACACCTGGAAGTTACCACTGGATAACACCGCTGTTCCCTGGGTTAGAACCCTAAGGTCCATATTAATTATAGTCATCTCATAATTGTCCATTCTCTTGGTGAATTTGAAAACGAGAAACTTGGGGGTTGCCAGCAGGCTCTGTGTCCCCCTAGCATCACTGTTCTGGGACACTCTGTCCCTTTGCCCGGAACTAAAGAGGGGACAATAATGAAAAAACTGGATTCCCAAATTAGACTGAATCTGTGCCAACCTTCGGAGTGTGTGATTCAGCCTTGGCAGTTCTTGGCCTGCGCGGCGAGTCCCAGGTTCAAGCCATGGCTGAACCCGCCTGCCGTTCTCATCCTTCCTGGGAGCGGTCATCCCAATCAATGTTTTCTGCAGGTCCTCACTCCTCTCATTCCCCACACCAGCACCTGCTGCAGGCCCTAGTGCCACGAGATTGGGAAAAGGGTTGCCTTTTCTGCTGCTGAACTTTCAGAGGTTGTACTGCTGCCAGTTCTGGATGGGAGCCACTGGGAAAGAGTTAGACAACTTGAAACATTGACCTGCCCATTGTTGTGTAAAAACTGCATAATTCTCAATGTATATTTATAAATTTCTATTTTGTATAGCTTTGGGGGAATTCTTGGAGGGAAAAAGTAGTAGAGGCGGATTAAAAGTGTGACTTTTGAAAAGCTCATAATAAAAGTTCATAATAAAATCTTTGCTAATAAAAAAAAAAGAGAGAGAGAAGGGCTGTGGGGCTCGTACCCCCTCACCGAGTTTGTCTGAGGGCTCTGAAGATGACAAACCCACAAAAAAGAAAAGGAGAAGACCGACCGGGCAGTAGAGGCTGAGCAGCCATCCTCTTCATCACCCGGAAGCAAGGCAATAAAGGAGAAGGATGACCCTAAGCAGCACAGTGGCTTCTGAACTCTCTCGGAGTTCTTGCTGGAGTCCAGGAGGGCCGGAAGCGCTACCGCCTGCCTGAGGCAGGACCACCTGGCATGTTTGGAGCCCAGGACCTGGAGAGGGAGCCAGAGGAGAAACCCAAACGTGAGCACAAGTCCTCAAGCAGGAGGGAGGCAAGAGAAGAAAAGAACAGGGATAGGGACAGAGGGCGAAGCTCAGACACACATTCTGGCTGGAACAGGCTTCTGAAGGCGTAGTCATAGAAGTAGGAGCCATGACAGGTCCCACAAGCATAAAAGGGCCGGCACTCCCCGGACGGGACTCCTGAATCCCGGGGACCGCAGGCAGCACTGAAGCCTGTTCAGCTGCTCAGTAGATTTGGAAGTGAACTGTTTTTAAATGCAGTCAAATTCAGTTATGTTGTTACTATTTTTGTGTATAAAACCTCTGGGGCTGAATTCTTTTAATCTCTTGAATGTTAGAGTCATTGAGAGGGCTATAGTTTCAACAGCCACATAGCCACAATTCGTTGGCGGAGGAGGAGGGGATGGGTATATGCAACCAGAATGAGTAAAATGTGCAATGTTTGGGGGATGGACACACTTGAAGCTCTTACTCAAGGGGGGAGGGGCGCATGGGCAATATATGTAACCTTAACACTTGTACCCCCATAATATGCTAAAATAAAGTTGTTGTCCCTGGAAAAAATAAAAAATAAGCCATACCAGATTCAATATAAGATTCTAAGGCCGGGTGCGGTGGCTCACGCCTGTAATCCTAGCACTCTGGGAGGCCGAGGCGGGCGGATTGCTCGAGGTCAGGAGTTCAAAATCAGCCTGAGCAAGAGCGAGACTCCGTCTCTACTATCAATAGAAAGAAATTAATTGGCCAACTAATATATATAGAAAATATCAGCTGGGCATGGTGGCGCATGCCTGTAGTCCCAGCTACTCGGGAGGCTGAGGCAGGAGGATCCCTGAGCCCAGGAGTTTGAGGTTGCTGTGAGCAAGGCTGACGCCACGGCACTCACTCTAGCCTGGGCAACAGAGTGAGACTCTGTCTCAAAAAAAAAAAAAAG